CAATACAGGAAGACTACTGTCCCCATCCATCCCAGCCGGGGGGCATTCTGGGACTTGTAGTCCCCCCAGCCCCCAATACAGGAAGACTACTGTCCCCATCCTTCCCAGCCGGGGGGCATTCAGGGATTTGTAGTCCCCCCACCCCCCCAATACAGGAAGACTACTGTTCCCATCCATCCCAACTGGGGGGCATTCTGGGACTTGTAGTCTCCCCACCCCAATACAGGAAGACTACTGTCCCCATCGATCCCAGCCAGGAGACATTCTGGGACCTGTAGTCCCCGCCTCAAAGGGGCCCAATTCGAGCACCGAGGGCTGACTCTCACCCCCATCCCCCAATACAAGAAGACTACTGTCCCCATCGATCCCAGCCAGGAGACATTCCGGGACTTGTAGTCCCCCACCCCCCAATACAAGAAGACTACTGTCCCCATCCATCCCCGCCAGGGGGATGCTGGGCCTTGTAGTCCCCCCTCCCCCTCCCCTTAAAGGGGCGGAGCTCGATCCAAAAGAAATCAGCAAAAAAAAGGAAGAAAAAAGGGGGGCTTGTTTCTTTCGCCTTCCCCTCTCCCCAAAGCGTGTTGTGTGTTGTGTAGTGTGTTGTTGTGTTGTTGTGTAGCGTGTGTCGTCGTGCAGCGAGCGTTACCGGATGAAGGTGGTCTTGCCGGTGGAGTACTGGCCGACCAGGAGCACCATGGGCTTGTTGTCGAAGTCGGCGTCCTCCAGGGCGGGCGAGTGGAACTCGTGGAACCTGTAGTGCTCCTCCAGCGGCAGCAGCTTGGCCCGGTAGAGCTTCCGCAGCCCCTCGCTCACCGTCTGGAAGACCTCGGGGTCCTTGCGCCGACGCTCGTCGCCGCCCAGCCAGCTGAACATGGCGGAGGAGGAGGAGAAGCAAGAAGGAGACTCAGCCGGGAAGAGGCGGCGGCGGCACTTTAAATGCCAGCCCTGCCGGCGGCCGACCCACCCCGGAAGCGGAAATGGAGGCCCCCTCCCGGATTTCCGCTCCGGAGGCAGGAGGCGGAACGGACTCTCTAGGGAGGCGGGCGGAGGGGGGGACGGAGAAGGGGTGCGTTTCCGGTCGGGAGGGTGGTTTTCCGGTAAGGGAAGGACGCGCTAGGAAGCGACTCTATGGCGGGACTTTCCGCTTTCGCAAAGGGGCCCATTTATGACTGGTGGACTTCAACTCCCAGAAATTCCTCGGCCTTCTCTCTAGGGAGGAAGGGGGCGGATTTCCGCTCCGGAGGAAAGAGGAGGAGAGCGCGACGGCCTCTCTAGGAGGAATGGACACTCTAGGGAGGCGGAGGAGGGATGGGTTTCCGGTTGGAAGGAGTGGACTTCCAGTTGGGGAAGAGGCGTAGGAAGGGACTCTATGGCGCGAAAGCCCTCCGCGCTAGGCGGACACTCTCTATGGTTGCGACGTAGGAAGGAGAACGCGACGGCCTCTCTAGGACTGAATGGATTCTCTATGAAGGGGACGGAGAGGAGGTGGGTTTCCGGTCGGGGCCGCGGTACGAAAGGGAGGAGTTTCGTTTGAGGAAGGACTCGGAAAAAGGGCGTCGGGGAACAAGAGGGGATGGGTTTCCGTTCGTTTCCGCGGTTTGAAAGGGGACTTCCGGTTACGATATGCCGCGCTAGGAAGTGACGCTATAGCGACTTTCCGCTTAGAGAGGGCAAAACCCTCCGCGCTAGGAGACTCTATGGTGGCGAGCGGCGGGGGGAGGAGGAGGCGGCGAATTTCGGGTCGGGTCGGCGATTGAAGGGATTTTTTTGGTTAGGTCGAGGGAAAAGGATGCGCGCTAGTAGGAGATTCTATGATGGGGGGCGGCTCCACAATTGAATGGGACTTTTGGTTAGGGAAGACAAAAAGGGCGCCGCGCTAGGAGGGGGAGGTGGCTCTCTATGGCGTGTTGACGGGTTAAACGCACGCCGCGCTAGGCGAAGACTCTCTATGGTTGCGGGAGAGGTGGGGAAGGGGCGGCTTTCAAAAGTTTTATTGAAAGGGAGCTTCCGGTTGGGGAAGATGAAAAGGGCGCCGCGCTAGGAGGAGGCTCTCTGTGGTGCTGGGGCTTCCGACTATGTAGAGTTGGGGAGGCGGTCGAGTGGAGCGCGGCGCAGGCGCACTTGGGCAAACTGGGGGGGGGAGCGGTCGCGCAGGCGTAGAGCTGCCTGCCGCGCAGCCTGGTCCTCCGCAGAGGTGGCTACTGGAGTGCCTGCGTGGCAAAGGCGGGGTCCTGGCGGGGTCCTGACGTGACATTGATTTGGCCGCCATGTCGCAGCAGCAGCAACAGCCCCGCGTCCCTCCGGCCGCCGCCAACCCGGGCTTGATTGGCTTCCTCCGCCACCAAATCAAGCATCGGCCCAGCGTGAGTGGCTCTCCGGGACTCCCGGCCCCATTGTCCACGGCCGGCTCAGCCCGCCCCAGGGGTCATTTGCATGCTTGGACTCCAGCTCCCATGGTCCAGGGCCATTGCAACCCACCCTGGGGGGGACATTTGAATGCTTGGACTCCGTCCCCCATCATTCCCTTGCCAGTGCAGCCCAACCTAGGACCCATCATCCCCGGGTGGCACTTGCCCCCCTCCAAGGTCTTTTATGCGTTCCCATAGTCCTCAGCCCACACAATTTAGCCTGGACTGCATCTCCCATAATCCCCCTTATGGAGGCAGTCCAGCCTAATGGTCATTTGTATGCCTGGACTCCAGCTCCCATCGTCCCCAGATCTATCCTCCCGAGGAGTCATTTTTATGCCAGGACTGCAGCTCCCATGATCCCTGGCCAGTGCAGCCCACTCTAATGGTCATTTGTATGCCTAGACTTCAGCTCCCATTGTCCCCAGCTCTTCCCTCCCTAGGGGTCATTTGTATGCCTGGACTCCAGCTCCCATCGTCCCCAGCTCTAACCTCCCGAGGAGTCATTTTTATGCCAGGACTGCAGCTCCCATGATTCCCGGCCGGTGCAGCCCACCATAATGGTCATTGGTATGCCTGGACTCCAGCTCCCATCGTCCCCAGCTCTACCCTCCCTAGGGGTCATTTCTATGCCTGGACTCCAGCTCCCATCGTCCCCAGCTCTACCCTCCCTAGGGGTCATTTGTAGGCCTGGACTGCATCTCCCATAATCCCCCTATGGATGCAGTCCACCCGAGAGGCCATTTGTAGGCCTGGATACCGGCCCCCATAATCCCTGGCCAGTGCAGCCCACCCTAGTGGTTGTTTCTATGCCTGGATCTCAGCTCCCATCGTCCACGGCCGGCGCTGCTCTCCTTCACGGTCTTTTATGTCCCTGGTTTCCAGCCCCCATCGTCCCCACTCAGTTCTACGCATCCTAGGGGTCATTTGTATGCCAGGACTGCAGCTCCCATGATCCCCGGCCAGTGCAGCCCACCTTAATGGTCATTTGTATGCCTGGACTCCTTGCTCCCATCGTTCCCGGCCAGTACAGCCCACCCTAATTGGTCATTTGTATGCCTGGACTCCATCTCCCATAATCCCTGACCAGTGCTTCCCACCCTAATGATCATTTGTATGCCAGGACTCCAGCTCCCATCGTCCCCAGTCAGCTCTGCCCTCTCTAGGGGTCATTTGTATGCCAGGACTGCAGCTCCCATGATCCCCGGCCAGTGCAGCCCACCCTAATTGGTCATTTGTATGCCTGGACTCCTGCTCCCATAATCCCCAGGCAGTGGCTCCCACCCTAAGGGTCGTTTGTATGCCAGGACTCCAGCTCCCATTGTCCCCAGCCAGCTCTACCCTCCCTAAGGGGTCTTTTGTACGCCTGGACTTTAGTCCCCATCATCCCTGGCTGACAAACACCCCCCCTTTACCCCCTCAAACCTTTTATGCACCTATACTCCAGCTCCCATAGTCCCCAGCCAACCCTTCCCTCTGCCTGGACTCCAACTCCCATCATCCCCAGCGCTTGCTCCACCTACTTGTGGGGGGGTGTCTTTAATCACACCCTTAATATCTTTCCCATCCGGTAACAAAATACAGGCAAGTCCTCGGCTTTACAACCACAGCTGAGCCCAACTTTTCCGTCGCTAAGTGAGTCACTTCCGCGAGTGGACGGACTCACGGGCCGCCGTCGTTCAGCGAATCCCTTGCCGTCGTAGGCGGTCGCTAAACGAATCTGGCATCCCCCGTCGGCTTGGCCCCGGGCAGGCGGGATCACCGCGACCCGTCGTAATGACGAGTCGTAAAGACGTCGTAAGTGTGAAAAGTGTCAAAAAGGACCGTCGGTCGCCGCTTTGATAGCCGTCGCGAAAATCAGAAATGATGGCTAAGTTGTCGTTTTTTTTCCCCACGAGCCGTCGCGACTCCCGGTGGTCACTAAACGAAGCGTCGTAAATGGAGGATGGCCCGGATGGCTTTTTGATCTGAATTTTCTCTTTTTTTTTTTTTCCTCGTAGTTGATGCCGCTTTTCTTCATTATGGGGACTGCAGTGGCCGGGGCGGGACTCTACCTGATGCGCCTGGCTTTCTTCTGTCCGGAAGTAAGGTATGTATCTGACATTAAACCTGGTTCATTTCACAAGCCACCATTCGGGGTTTGCGGAAATGAGCCGATTCGCTCATTTTTGCCTCTTGCCCCCAAAAAGTTAAAAAAAATAAACCAGCCCAAAAAAACAGTGTCAAAGGACCAGCCAGCTTTTTAACCACGGTTCGATTTCATACAAGGAAGTCCTCAGCTTACGACGGTCCCTTTAGGGACCGTTCGAACTTCTAACAGCACTGGAAAAAAAAAAGGGACCTAGGATTGTTTTTCGTCCTTAACGACCGTCGCAACGTCGTGATCCAAATTCAGAGGCTTTGGCCCCTGACTCATATTTATGACTGATCCCCTTTTGTGACTAACTGACCAGTCAGTGGGGAACCTGGGTTCACTTTACGACCGTATTACTTACCGTTTGCCCTGTAATAAATGAGCTAGGCCGGTCGTAAAGGGGGGCAAAAGTCCCTTCATAAAAATGTCTCGCTGAGCGACACAAATGGGTCGCGCGTCGCTTTGCCAAGGCCCGTTGTCACTTTGAATCGTGCTAGCTAAGCAACCGGTCATAAAGCGAGGACTGCCAGCCAACCGGCCCTGATGCGTCAATCTTTGATTCCCTTTTCTCTCGTAGATGGGACAAGAAGAATAACCCGGAACCGTGGAACAACCTCGATCCCACTCACCGTTACAAGGTGGGGGCGTTTAAATATCGAACAAATTGGGAGCGCGGAGCAGGGGGGTGGTTGGACTAGATGGCCTCCGAGGTCCCTTCCAGCCCTGTTACTCTATGATTCTGTAAGGCTCTTCTGCTTTGAGCAGGGGGGTTGGGCTAGATGACCTCCGAGGTACCTTCCAGCCCTGTTACTCTATGATTCTGTAAGGCTCTCCTGCTTGAGCAGGGGGGTTGGGCTAGATGACCTCCGAGGCCCCTTCCAACTCTTGTTATTCCACAAGGGTCTCTGCTTGAGCAGGGGGTTGGGCTAGATGACCTCCGAGGTCCCTTCCAACTCTGTTCTAAGGGTCTCCTGCTTGAGCAGGGGCTAGATG